TTTTTTTTTTTTTTTTCAACTTTAGCTAGAGGTTAGACCGAGCCTCCATCCAAAGTCATTTTTTTTCAATTCCGTTATTAATAAAATAGATCACTTATACTGGTTTTATTTTTATTTTTATATAAAAAATCTTACGTAATATATAATTTTTTGAAATTGATTCAAATAAAATCTGTCTCCCAAATCCCAATAATTTAATACGAGAATTAGTGCAACTAATATAATTATCACCATTATGTTTTAAATTATTTTGAATTTATTTCCACTGTAAGAATGATAATTGAAAAAAAAAAATACTTTTGAAATAATATAAAGATTGATAAAAAATAACATCATTAGAACTGGGATAGTATGGTGGTTAATATGCTTTACTGAAAATTTCAACATCCTAAAATTAACAAAAATAATCACAATTGTGGAGTCATTATTATTTAGAAATTTCTCTAATTGTTTTTCATAATAACATGTTTTTTTCATCACGTTAAAAATAATTAAATAGTGTGGATTAAGAGAGAATGAATTGAAGAACCAATTTTTCTATTCACATTCTTTGATTTTTGGTTGAGTAATGCTATACATAGTCAACAACTGCAATAATCATATTTTGTAGCAGTCTGATATTTGATACATTAATTTGTTATTCAAGACAACACACTTACAAATAACAAATTTCCACATAAGACGACTACTTGCAGTCGCTGACTATGAATATAATTACTCTTTTGGTTTATGGTCTACTTTAGTTCCATGTCAACTTTAGTTGCATTTATGATATCAATTAGTTAAATACAGACGGTGCTTGTAGACGGAGCCAGGGTAGAGGCATAGGTGGCGGCGTGGTTAGGGACCTTTTTGGTAATATGGTTTTCGATCGGCTTCTATGAATTCTTTTGAACTTGCTCTAATATGGAAGCTGAAACAAGGGACTCTTTAGGGGTTTAAAGATGTGCTTCTAAAGAGGAATTCAGAGCATCTGGATTGAAATCAAATCTAATGCACTGGTAAATCTGGTGCAATACCAAGTTCAAGAAATACGAGACATGCTCAAACAGATTAATTATAAAACTTAACTAAATTATTAGATTGGTTAGCTAGGGAATTCAGCTTTCGATTGGTTAGCTAGGGAATCAAGGGGTGAATGTCAGCTGTTAATCATGTGGTAATGGTTGATCCATCAGTAGTGCAAGTTGCCCTGAGGGGAATTTTATGGCTCGATAAGGTTCCATATCTTAAATTTAAATAGCAGTGGAAGTATTCTATCAAGTTTGCGGGAAGGAAGTAGTTTTTGTTGGGAATTTATTTAATCATACACAGCGGAAATAAAACAAT